GCATTTACGATTATCTTCATCATTACGTTCATAACGCTTGATGGCATTACATTTAATTACATGACATTACGTTTCATTTCATTTCATGATGCATCATGCAGGTCGTCTCATTACTCCGTTTAGTGGGCACCAAAGTTACCATCATGCAGGTCGTCTCATTACTCCGTTTAGTGGGCACCAAAGTTACCATTTCTCATGGAGTGGTTCTAAATCGCGCGTATGTCATCATCCTAGGCTGAACCTGTATTTGAAGCATTGGATAAGATTTTCCGACGCTACAACAAGGCAGGCTTTAAAGTCAAGACGATCAAGTGTAATCGGGCGTTCATCCCTCTAACAGATGCTATGCTAGACAATATGGGTGTCACTATTGACCTGACTGCAGCTGGAGACCACGAGCCTACGGCTGAGCGAAACAATAGGACGCTGAAAGAAAGAGTCAGAGTAGCTCTTGCACGATTACCCTACAAAGTGGTACCAAAGGTGATCACTGAATGTCTTGGACGTCAAGCCGTCGAGCTATTGAATGCCTTTCCTCAGAAAGACAGTATCTAAACACATTTCAGTCCGCAGCAAATCATTGATAATGTCAATATCAACTACAAGAGTGACATGGTTGCTGGGCAATTGGGACGGATTCCAACAATTTGATGGAACCCCGCAGTGTCAAAGCGATCTACATTGAACCTACAAAGGGACAACATAATGGGCATCGAGTGCTCAACCTCAATACTAAGAAGATGATTTCTCAACCCAAAATCATTGTACTACCCGTTACCGATCAAGTGATCCAGCGTGTTGAAGCCTGGGCTGCTGCTGAAGGTGTTACTTCTGTTAAGTCCTTCGATAAGAAGAGAGATTTGGAGACATTTCAAGATGGCAATCAAATTGCAGGAATGGATGACATGGAACAAGGTTACTAGAAGTAGCCGTTGATCAGGACTATGAATCTACGCGGACAATTTGATGATATCGATGACTCCAAAAGAGAAGAGCTCTTGGCAGCTGCAGACAATGATGTCAATGATATGCCAGAACTCACTGTCAGATTCCAAGGAGACGATAACAATGAATCAGATGACGAGGATTCGGGTGATGAAGAGGAAGAAGCTATTGTGGCCAATTTGGCGGAACTCCAAAGTGGACAATATTGCCCAAGGCTACGCCAACAAGCTGATTGCTACCAACGACAGGATCACCACCAACGACAAGTTCTTCTCCGAACCCTGTGCAATCTACATTGACGATGAGGAAGGTCTCCTGCCTTGCTTTGGAATTGATCGACGAAGCAGTCGTCTTGCCAGAACTGATGGAATACTGGGCAGCCAAAGGCCGTCTTAGTCCCAGTTTCTTCCGATTGGTGGACTGGCCGATCGTGCACCGCGTGATGAAGTCTCTGAAGCCTGCCGAATAGCGCTTCATCACAAAACACACCGTTGGCATGTGTGGTGTAAGCAAGTTCTGTAAACAATGGGGCCTCGACTCTGAGAACAGATGCCCCTTGTGCGTACTGCAGGAAGACCACCTTCACATTCCTTGTTGCCCTTCCAATTGGGCCAAGACCCAGTGGCAGCTCCTACTCCAAGAACTCCAGGAGTCATTCCAGTCCACCAGCACTGCTACACTCATCGCCCAATTCCTAGGTGCCCTTCTTCGCACCATCCACACCCCTAACAACCAGCCCCAAACCGAGACTCTGTGGTACCGCCTACACGGTATGTCTTCTTCCGCCCTCACCCAAGTCTGCGAGGCCCAACTCCCCAATGCCTCCTTGAAGGCCTTCTCTTCCACGGCTGGGCCGACCTCCAGCAACAATTGTACCGCGAGAGCGGTAGTCGCATAACCGGTTACCTGTGGGCTGCCACTCTATCTTGACAGCTCATCCTTATCGGCAAAGGCATGTGGAAGCATCACAATGATGTCTTCCATTCTGACGACAACATTGTCAACCAACAGCGAGCGACTGCTCTAAATCGACGCATCCACAAACAGTTTGACAAGGGTCTTTGAGACCTACCTCGGAACCTTCGCCCTGCCATCCGTCGATCCCGCCTTGTGGAAGTCCTCTAACTCCAACTGGCAGATAAGGAGGAATGGGTCCTCGTCATCTCCGAAGCCCGCCGCAAAAGACTCACCCTACTCCTCGCCCAGCAGTCCCCTGACTTACTTGTCTACATATTTACCAAAGTGATTCTGGTCCCGGTACATCACAAGCCACACATACCCCAGTCTAACGTATACATACCCCACCTTGAGTGGAAGAGCTGATTGTCCTTTGACACTTTTGACTTGCAAGCAACGTTCCTCTATTGAACGCCTCCATGTGGTTCAAACTTTGTTGACCAAAAGCAAATATATAATATATAATATATAATATTTATATCAAGAAAATGTCAATAGAGGAGCCAATGATATTGGAAGCCTCGTTACTGACCACCAGAAGAAGACATTGTACTTGAGCCTGAAACGCCTCAAGTAGCAAAAGTCACTTGATCTGGGCAAACATATGCGCAAGCTGCAATATCTGGGCTGAACCTTTCTCAAGTTCCAAAGAAACCAAGAGAATGGCCTTTGAGCAAGAGTGGCAGTTCTGCCAATAATAACAAGAATCGAGTTGCGACAAGACGCAAGCATCAAGTTGCAACAAGACGCAAGCATCAAGAGAGGAAATTGAAACGGTTGAAGGACAAATTGAAATATGACAGTAAACCTATCCTTGAAGCACAGCACAATCTATGTTTCCAACAGATTGGGAGCGAAAAGAAAGCTGATTATGAATCGCTTGTTGCATGATGCAGATCAAGGCCAAGTTCAATACTGATGAAGGTCTGAACTTCATTCAACAGTACTACATTAACCAAGGACTGAAGAAGTTTGGTGCTGATGGAAAAGATGCTGTGCATAAGGAATTGAGACAAATGCTCCTGAGAGATTGTTTTACTCCCAAATTTGTGAAAGACATGACCGCGTCTGAGCAAAAGAAAGCCCAATCAGTGATGATGTTACTGGCGGAAAAGCGATTCGAAAAGAAAATTAAAGGTTGCCTAGTAGTATACCAAGGCAATGTAACTTGTGAATGGTTATTGGGAGAGGACACTGCAAGTCCAACTGCTTTGCAAGAAGCAATTGCCACTACTTGTGTTATTGATGCACATGAAGGTAGATGCCTGAAGTAATAAATCTGATGCATTAAGTTTCTAGATTGTCGTTAATGGCTGTCATGGCCATTTACCATATGGAGGTGAGTCCAGTACTGTTGAACCAGTTTGAGGCATCCAATCCCAAGGAAGTTGCTCTATTGCATATTACATTGCACCCTTGCACATGTAGAGAGACAATCTTGCCACTTGAGGCGGTGTATTTTTATTTTGTTTTCTGTGTTTTTTCTTTTGTTGTGCTTGCCTGTATTGAAGCTTGATTTAACCTTGTGTTCTTACTCCCTTCTATCCAACCTGGGTAAGAGCCGGCCCTCCTGGGTAAGTCTGACCGTTGTGGGTAAGCCTCCTACCGTTAACCACTACCTAAGTACCTCGATTTACTTAGCATTTTCCAAACCATCATGTAGAACTCCAATCTGTGACAGAATATTATTATTCTTGGTGGAACGCTCAAGATTACACTAGATGATAATGTATCAACTCAAGGTAAACAAAACACAACGCAATGAGTTGATCGGGAATTGACAAACAGTTGATGCGCTTGATGCGCAAAGTTCCAACTGTTTTCATCTGACAACACGTCATCATATCTATTTTACTATTAATTACTTGATACAATTCTGTCACTCCCCACATGGGTGAGTGAGTGAGGACCTAATCCTCGTCAGCTGTGTTGTCTACTCAGAAAAGTAGTGTATGTAGCTGCGGCCATTTTGTTGATATTGTTTGCTAAGGAGTTTGGCCTGGTGTTTAGCACCTCTGGTCTATAGAAAGGAGAGCATATTGGATGCAATAGCCTCTCTTACACCGTGGAACGACAGTACAACATGTCGCTTGTATTAGGTCTTGGTGAGCTGTTGGCAACAGTCTCAGTAGTCTTGGGTCCATCAATATGAGGCAAAGAAAACCTTTTCAGGTGAAAAACTTTGTTCACATGATGTAATGGCAACAAGGTATGCCATATGTGTAGTTGGTACAATGTCGTCTTGTAATGTTTAGTTATATGCTGAGGCAAGGCATCAAGGAGTGGCTCATTGCCTTTGAGCAATGGTTGCAGACCAGTTGTCTGCTCCCCATTAATCTGAGCAACAATGTGGTCAGAATTCATTTGGTCTTCAGTTGAAGTGGTCAATTGCTTCATGTAGAAAGCGTTGGTACATAGACAAGTTGCCAAGTGGATAATGTTTACCATTTCAGTCTTAGCTAGTAGACTTTGTTCAAATTGCTTCCATCCAATTGACAAAGTTGTCCAGTCATCAATGTATGTCCAATGGAGGAAGTCGCTCACTGCCAATGTACAGTGACAAAGATCTATACCATTGATTGTAGTCGTAGTGAGCCCATGTGTGACTGTATTGTTGCTTGAGCTTATTGTAGTTGTGCCATCAAAGCAAAGACTTTGGTTAGCTCCGCTACAAGCAGATTGGTGGAATAGGCCTGGGGACCGCTCAATGATACTATCATTGTAGCTTGGCGATTCAGTGTCATGGCGTGTGCTGCATCTGTGCTTTCCAGCAAGTAGGAAGCTGCGGCATTGCCGGGCTCGGATTTGGTGGCTAGTTCTAGAAGTAGATACAAAGTTGGAAGGCGCCAATACTGTAATATCTATAGTAGTTATCGTAGCTAGTTGAGTTGAGTCTTCCAAGTAGTGTTCCGAGTTCTTCTGGATGACTAGCTTGGGCAACCATGCAAAGTAGCTGCGGAGGCGTTCCCAATCACGTTCACAAGACTTCACCGCTGAGCTTGGGTTCTTCAGTTCAACCTCAGTTGGTTGTAATCCGTGCTCAAAGCTGTTGCAAGGTGGTGGACCATTTCTCCCGTCAGGCTTTCGAGTATCATCATCAAAGCGTGCCTCTTGGGTTGAGGATTGCTTGTGAGATTGATACGACACCAGCTCAAATTGAGTTGAGGGTTGCTTGTGAGACTGATAGATCTCAAGCTCTGGCGGTGCGACTTGAGTTGCACTGGTGCGATCCGGGTTGATAGGATCTCCAATGCTATGTTCAAGTCTAGCTAGTTCAGGAGTTGGTGAACAATGGACTTCATGAAGTCCATCTATCGGATTTGCATAGACAAAGGATTGGAATAAGTCAATTGCACAATCTAAAGCAGAGGTGCCGTTCATAGTAGTAAAGAGTAAGGCTCTATTACAATTATGACTATCTACTTGTTTGAATGTCGGTTTGGCTTCTTCAGTTCCAATAGTGGTGGAGTCCAATACACTTTGGTCATGATCAGAACAATGCTTAGTACAATGCTTAGGAATGAGCATGGCATTTGGAATGTTAGCGGTGCTCAATCCACGGTCGATCAGATCAAAGTCAAGTGGCCCAACAAAGTCAATAGTACATTATAGAGTAGCTTCAAGGATCTCAAGAGTACAAACTAAAATAGATTTGTTAGTGGCTATCTCATCTATTGTTTGGTCGGGCTCTCTATCTGACTTGTTCCCATCATGTACAGGAGGACAAGCACTAGTAGCATCATCTCTCCCCATGCTCGCTTCCGGCAACTGTTGGAGCAAGTTGTCTTCCAGTACAAAGTCAGTAAAGAAAGCAACAGCAACGTCTAGAGTAGACTTCTTTATAGTAGTTAGGATTTGACTAGTACTCTTGTGGACAGTCAGAGTATCATCGAAATGTACTCTTGGCGGTGGACGACGATCCAACTCCCCATGAGGTGTCTTCCTAGTTGGTTTGTCCGAATCGAGGATGAGGTCCTTGAAAGAGCTGTCTTTCAAAGGAGCTAACTCGATATTGTAGTTGTACGCCAAGGAGACCAACTGTTAGCCTACTTGTTCATTGATTCTTTGGTGGACCAACGTACTTTGAAATGGCTCAACTGGTGTCGGATCTTCCTGCATGCAGTCACTCTTTCTGATATTGTGAATGCTGAAGGGACAGCGATTACTTTGCAGGCTTGGAAGGGGATAAGAGCGGACACCTGTTCTGACCGGTACCAATGGCCCTGCACTGCTTGTCCGTCTAACCAATGGTGGACTGCATGGCAGCAATGGATTTCTACTCACTTGTTCGGCCACTCCAACCGACGCCGTCTCAGTTCTCCGTTAGGCCCGTGGTGTTCCGTCCACTTGTCCTGGAAGTGGCAATACTCCCCCTCTACTAATACCCTGTTCCACCGTGAGGGTCAACTATGGATCCCCTCCGTCCCTCTCGCCTCCACCAGCCGTCAGCGCACCTTCTACTTGCCTCGCCGCTTCAACCCTGATCTCCCACCTCTACCAGTGGACGCTGTCCGCGCCTCGGTCTCTGTCCTCCCTAGCCGGTCCCCGATCCACAATAGCCGGGTCCTCCTCCACTCTACGGGCCCTCACCTGCCTCCCCATCTTCCATCCTTGACCTCTGGCATCACCTTGGCAGTCTGGCTGAATCAGGTTCTCACGGCTGGGTTCCAGAGGTCATTACCACTGACGGTAGTGAGGACCGCCTGGTTCAGGCCCTTCGTGCCGGTACCCTTCGTGCTGTGAGCGACGGCTCTTACAAAGCTAAAGTGGGCACAGCATGCGCTCAAATCCTCACTGAGGACCGCAGGGATATCATCTGGATCACCTGCCAAACCCCTGGGAAATTTGAGGATCAGAGTTC